TACCTGTTGTCTGAGGAGTTTATTTCTAAAGTGGTCCCAAAATCCCTCCTCTGCTGCTGCTTCTGTCTGCTGCTGCTGCCTCTCCTCCTCTCCTCCTTTCTTATTTTTTCGGCATTAAATCAGCTTACAACTTTTCTGCTACTCCGGAGTGTCCCCCAGGAAGCGAGTTAGACAGTGGGTGACGCTCAGTGTGACTGGGTGTCACGGTGTCACAGTGCGGCTTGTGTCAGCGTTTTAAAGCCATGTGACAGTATGAATAAAGCATGATGCGGCGGGCAGCAGGGTGGGCAGGGACTGACAGGAGAACAAGCTCGCCCAGTGTTTTTGGTGACGGCGGACAAGTCGAATCCCTTAAAGTTTAATGGGGGCCACGCCGCAGAGAGAGCGAGAAGTAGAGCGTGGGGCGTGTGTGGGCGATGTGGTTTCGCCGGGCTGCCGTTCGCAGGCCTGCAGCCGGTGGGACGCAACAGTGATGCTAATAAAGCCAACGGCCTACCTCGTGAGTGATGGATCGGCGTCACGCCGCACTAGTAGGAAGGGAAGATGCTCGATCAGCCTTTCCTTTGTGGAAAAAGGGTGTTTTGCTTGAATCCCTCTTCTGTGAAGCTGCCCCAGAATCCTGCGGTTTCATTGGCGAATGTTCGTCTCATCGTTTTACCGTCCCAACGGAGATCCGAACTTCCCACGTTCTGTCTTCTGTGGCTGTTTACAATGTCTCCTTTTTTTTCCTTGCTCTCTTTTTTCAACTTGTTCATCTTCAGGCTGAACTGAAGCTCTAAATAACACCATGTTTAGTTTTAATACAGATTGTATGTATATCAGTTGGTTCTCCACTTTCTACTGTTATCCACTGATATGGGGTTTTGACGCAGAAGAGGCTCCTCAGGGGGAGTTTGTGGTGGCAGTAACTGGCCGTACAAAGTATTTGAAAGCATGTCGGTTTCTTTGAACCCGTCTAAGCTGTTTCTGAGAAGTTTTTTTTTTTTTCACTGCAACATGAGGTCCTCCATGAAAACAGCACAACAATGGCTAGAAGTAGCACTGTGACAAACGTTAGAAGGTCATAAATCATTTAAAAAGTTAATTAAAAACGCCACAAATTAAAAGGTACGACATTTTTTTTAGGTGTTACCACTACTGGAAACAAGTGGGAACTCTGCTATCGGTACTTTTCAACTTGCATTTTTAATTTGTTTTCATACTTCATACTTTCATACTACCCAGTTTAGCTGAAAAGTCCCGGATTTGTCATGTGACCGTTGGGGTCATCTGAGTCACTGATGGCTGTGGACAGAACAGAGCTTCTTGTTTATTACAGACCCTGGTTAGAGACAACTTTTCTAAACGAGAAAGTTCACAATTTTATGCTTAGATTTGGTTTATTTTTCGACGTCACGCGTGATTAGTTCAAGGACCGTTGGAAAATTTAAAATCCCACGGTTCTTTCTGTTATTACAGAAACAGCCTCTGATACATGGTGTAATTTGGGCAGTGTTGTTTTGTTTTTTTTCCTTTCAAACCTGCTGCTGGTAGGGATTCAGAGGATTAACCATGGCTGCAGTTTTTACCCAACCTTCAGCAAGTTTAAATTCAATAANATATGGTGTCACCACTGGTAAAGACATCCAAAATACATGTTTTTTTTGTTTGTTTTTTAATTAATTTATTATTATAGTTTTATTTTTTGTTGCTGATTTAAATAGTCAAAGTTATCTGTCGTGCTGTCTCATGTAGTTGCACCAATCGCAAGACAAAGTACCTGTTTTTCTTCAACACAGTGTTTTCTGTCACTAAAATACACTAAAACCAGAAGTTTACATTCACTGTGTGAAAGACATAAGTTTTTTCTGAAATTTTTTTTTTAAAAATCTAAAAAAATCTCTAAAAAAAATTCTCTCTCATTATTCTGGCTTTTAGCAAATAGAAATAATTTTAGTAATCCTAACTGACCTAAAACAGGAAGATTTTAGTTGATTTAATGTCTAATAGTGAGGAAAATAAAGGTTTTATGTCTTTTTTTTTTACAGTGTATGCCAACTTCTGGTTTCAACTGTATTTCCATTTGTGATTATGACCAAGATTATATTCTATAATACTGAATCAATATTTAGATCATGATTAACACATTACTTATCGCAATAATCATTGATTTTAGAGGTGGAGCGTTATTATTGCACTTTCACATTTAAATAAAGGGAGCACTGCTTTCACCCTCCTGCTGTTATATTGTGTGGAGGAGTGAAATAAGACAAGCTGATGTCACACTGACCCGAGGTGGAACCGAGTCATTTTACGGTCTGTGTTCTATGGAGCGTTTTAAACTTTATTATCACGTTGTGTTCATTTAATTGAGAGAAGCCAAAATCGTGGTTAATATTCTGTTAATCGTGCAGCCCTACAAACGACGTTCCGATGCTTTTCCTCGCTACGCTGGCTAAGAGCAACAAACCCTGTCTTTTATATTTTTAGTTTTTTTAAATCGGCATATCGAATAAATCTTCAGTTGGAGTATATTACGTCTCCTAAATGACTTCTCTCGTAGATTAGTCGTGGAAAACGAAAACTGTTTGATGTTTGTTTAAAGGCAACAAACAAGTTGAGCTGAACTGCTTTGTGTCGCATTAAATGTGCCGGCCTGACACACAGCCATTTACTGTTCAACTAATAGTTACTGCAGCCTTAAGGGGTTTTATACGGAAGCCGAGAGCGGTCATGGCCGCACATTTTTTTTAAAACGGCGTTTGTTTTCTTGAGAAAACGAGCTAGTTATCCCGTTGACAGTTTCGGCTGTCACTTCAGCCTTCATCAGAAGTTGTCGGACTTCCTGGTGTGACGTATCTTATATAGACAGCTGACCGGGAACTCCGACATGACGTGTCATGAGAACAGCTGACCGGGCACGACAACTTACAATGAAGCGCTCGTGCCCGGTCTCGTCTGTCCTCCGGCCCCCCGCTGGTGACTGAGGATGGAATCCCAGGTGTGTGGGAGGTTCCACACACCTGGGATTCCATCCTGGACCGGGCACGAGCGGGCAAACACAAACACCAATTATCTCGTTATCTCGAGAAAACGATTCTTGTTATCCTGAGATAACGAGAAAATTAACTCGTTATCTCGAGAAAACGGCGAAGAAAGAACAGTAGCGGAAAACGACCGCTCTCAGCTTCCATAGTTTTAACAATAACAGTGCATCATCATTTTCAGATTTCCATTGACAGAAACAATTACTCATATTTAGTGCGTCTGTGAGTTTCTCTGTTGTCTCGTTACACTTTTTTGTCTCCCTACATGCTACGTGCCACTTTGTGTTTGCGCTACAGATAAACTGGATCACAGATAAACAACATCGTTGCCTTTTCACCCTGAACGCTCCCATCCTGCGTCAGTCAGCCCTCGCTCTGGGACTGAACTTTATTTTGAGGAGAGCAGAAGAGTCTCTGGCTGCCATTATGTCCAAACCTCTTCCCCCTCCACCCTCCACCGCCTCCACCCTCCGTGTCCCTCTCTGCCATTCCCAGGCCAATCTGCAAGTCATTACCGATGTTCCATTAGACGGCGCCTCGGCACTGAGCAAACTCATATCCAGATTACTCTACAGAGCACGAGGCTGCTGGTATGGTTTAAACTTTAGCTATTCATCCCTGATTAAATAGTATGAAGCTCCCACTGATTTATCGCCGCGGATATGAACGTTCGTTATCCTAATAGGAAAATTATAGTTTGCCTGATGGTGCTTAAAGTGGAATATGATTTAATTTAGAAATTTTAGTTTGGTATTTGTATGGCCTTTATGATTGCTTATCGCTGCTCCGGATGAATACCAAACACGTGTTAGCGTGGCGCTAACTAGTTAAGTGGTAATTACAGACTTCATGATGTTCCAAAGGCACCTTTTACTCTCTTGCTCTACAGAGAATGTCTTACAAAATGTCTTCTAGTGAGAGTTGACATTCTTTTTGGACTATATTTATATATTTTTTAGCTCTGCATTTCCACCAAAAACCCACTTCCAAGTCTTTTTGCTTTAAAGTCAACACACCGGCTGGGACATAAATAAAGCAGCAGCAGTCCTTATACACAGATATGATGTAACTGGATTTCATTTACGGAAACAGTTTAAAATATGAATTTTCTTTCTCGAGCGGCGCGGTGATGTAACGCGGCTTCCAGCTGACAGCTGCATATTGTCTTTTGATTTACTTAAGGCTGAAAAACCGCTTAGACGTTTCAATTTGCTTCAATTAGCATGGTGCAAAGCTACTGTTCTCGCCAAATTTTTATTGATCGAAGAGCAGCGAGAAAGCGGGCTGAATGGAAGCGCTGAACCCTCGGTCATCTCTCCTCTCTAATCTGTTCGGCTGGAGCTGTTTGACAGTGCAGCAGGCTAGAATTACTGCTGTCCGTATTCCTAAGAGAGACGCTGCCTTGGGCTCTCAATTTTGTCCATGCAGGAAGAATTAGAATATCCTTTGGTGGATTCTTTTAGGCAAAAAGAAAAAAAAAAAAACATGCCTAATATCCATAAAAGCCTCTTTAATATGGGGAAGGGATTAATTCCAAAATGGCATGTACTCTTTGTGACGAGTAACTGCCACATTCAATATTGAGTATTTCATGAAAAAGGAGGGAAGAGCTGATCCTCAAGAGTGTTGATGATTTCTAAGTGGAGGTTTTAGGCTGGTTGATTTAGGCATGAGAACAAAGGCAGCTGGAATAGTGTCCAATGTGGTTGGAGGGCCCTTTGGGATGGAAATAAAAAGGGTTCATAATTCAGATTGTGATGCCAAAAAGCATGTGGTGCCACTTGTAATTGACAATTAAGCCTTGTCAATTAGAATGAATAGCAATGCTAATACATATCAAATTGTATTGGCTCTGTGTTTCTTCTTCTCTTCTTAAATCTCTCAAAGTCCAGAAAATTTGATCCACCCTAATCAGCATCCCAGTGAGATGTTCTCCTGTCGTTCCTGCTCACGTCTCTTTTCTCTCATCTCCAGGAGTGTCCTCAGATCCTGCCCTCCACCCAGATCTACATCCCCGCCGGAGTTATGAGGCCCATCACCCTGCTGGCCCAGAACCTGCCCCAGCCCCAGTCGGGACAGAGGAACTACGAGTGCATCTTCCACATCCAGGGCAGCACGCACAGCGTCCCGGCGCTGAGGTTCAACAGCTCCAGCATTCAGTGTCAGAAGACCTCGGTGAGCATGAAAACGCACATGTGTTGCCTTTCCCTTGCTTGGCTTGCGGAGTGCTGGTTTAGCCAACAGGATGCTTTAAAGCTGGTGGGCTGCAGTTTTAAAGAGCAGACCGGTGGTGGCAAAGACTGAGGCCTACGACCACCAGAGAGTCTCCGTTCCCATTCCTCATCTCTTAGCTCTCAGTCAAGCTGCCACCGCTAATAAGGAGCGACCATTTCAGCAATGTTAATTTCCTCGGCTCCAATCAGGGCATGCAGCAGAGGGGGAGGCGTTTTTAACGACGCCAATTATGACTTAACTTAACAAGACACATGATTAACATTCGAGGCGTTGCACCGCGGAAGCAGCGACGGCGTCCGATGGCGAGCCGTCGCCGTCGAAAGGCGGCGGGAGCGCGGTGTGCGGCTTTTCTTCAACCTGTCACACACTTGTCAGCGGCTCCGGGTCACTCCACTTACTTCTGCATCGCCAGCCGGGCTCGAAAAACACGTCGCTGATTTGCGGACCGCTCGCTGGGTTCTGAACTAACGAGTCGCCCACTCTCTCTCCCCACAAAAGGCAGCGATTGAGCCTCGGCGCTATGATCCTGGAAGTTCTTTCTGCCTCTCATGTTGACGGTGACACGGGAAAATAGTTCTGGGGCACATTATTGAAGTTGAATTCCAGATCATAGTGATGGCTCCCGCGGTTCCTTTGTGATTCGGAAAGGTAATTTGTGCATATTTAGTCGCTTGTGTCTTTGTAATTGCTTCGTGCGAGTGAGTGTTCTTTTAGATTTGACTTCTCGGGTTGTTATTACGCGTTTTTTTTTTTTTTGGCAGATTTTATCCGCAGTGACCTGACTGCTTAAAAGCCTATTGAATAGAGAACGAGCTGCAAAAATAGTAATTGCTGTGTGTCAAGTCTTGAATTTTGAAAGGGATATGTGCTTGAATGGCGGTCCATACCTTGGGCATGGGGAGACCCAGACAAGACATCCCGACTCCCATCATTGCAACGCCGATACCTGTAAACGTTTTGCTCGAAGACCACAGTCGTTGTTTCTCTTCCTTCCGCTCTGCCGGATTTTAAGTTTGTTCCCGAAAGCCTCCCACACCTCCAAAAACCAGCACTTACTCCAGGAAATAGCAGTGTGCAGTTTGCGTCCCCAGTGTTTGATACACTCAAATACATTCATTACTACACCGCTACTACTGCTGAGAGTTGCTGATGCTGGAGGACAGAGACCTTCCTCAGCAAAACTCTGATTCACTGGCAAAAAAAAGAAAAAACGAACACACACACACACTCACATTCGTTTCTTCATTCCTCTGTAATGTTTCGCAAAATCCCAACGTTATCTCTGCAGGAGTCGGCGAGAAAAAAAAAATATGCAGGCTTCAATTCAACTTTGCAGCTGTTGATGAAGCTCGACGTAGGAAGTGTGTGTGTGTGTGTGTGTGTGTGTGTGTGTTTGCGTGCACGCATCCACGTTAGGTGCACCGCCTCCTCCTTCCCCCCGCCTCCCTCCGCTCGTCAGGTGGGACTGTGATAGGATCCAATTAAGGGAGCTGTAGATAAAATGATGATGAATTGCACCGGTGTGGTAGACTGACGGGCAAAAACACACACACACACACACATATACACAAGCCTTGGCAAATGGAAAAAGAAGGAAACAAAAAAAAAAAAAAAGACAAAGAAAGAGAGAGCCAAAGAGGGAGGTAGGGGAATTCAGAGCAGACAGTGACGATGCAACAAAGAGCGTGATGGAGGAGGTAGAAATGGGGAATAAGGAGAATAATAAGAATAAAGGAAGACAGAGGGGAGGAAAGAAAGACTCAGCAAGCAGACGAGGGGGGGAAACAAACAAACGAGGGCGAAGCAGATGGAGAGAGAATGTATTTGGAATATAAAAGACGTTTGAGAAAGTGATGCCCAAAGAAGACGGAAATCATGATCCGTGGAAAAGCGAAACGCCTGAGATTAAGTGGAACGGCGGCGGACGGGAAGGACGTTTGGGACAATAGGGAAGTTAGTCAGCTGTGCAGTGCTGGTTTTCAGATACATCTTTTTCTTGATGTATTAAAAAGGAGCTACGTTAACCAGTAAAGGAGCTGCAGTGCTCCAAAGGTTAGCAACGCTGCCTTGTTTCACATTCATTGGTCTGTTGGAGGAATCGAACTTTTCACCTTTTAAAATCACAGACTAGTTGTAGATGCAGCCAACGTTTGTTCCACCGACTCTGTAGTGAAATATCTCACCAGCTGTGATTGGTTTCAGTGCTGGTGAGTTGGGTTGCTTCCAGGTAGCGTTTACAGAGGTGGAGCTGAAACACAACTGTAATATTGCTGAGTAATGAACCAAAATGATGAACCCAAAGACACTAAATCGCTCTGCAGGGCTCCAACAGTGACCCCCGTCACGATGCATGTAGTAATTTGGCACATTTAGTATTAACCTCTTAAGACCTGAGCTCTTGTTTGATGTGCATTTTTTAAATTTCTTTTTGCTGTTTGATCTGATTTATAGAATAAAAAGTCAAAAAAAAAAATAGAGTAAACAAGAAATATTAAAAAGTGTACAGAAATATTTAAAAAATAAAATATAAAAAAAAATAAAAATAACAATAATAAAATAACTTTAAAAAAAATAAATAAAAACAATTATTTACTGTGGTAATACAACCCAAAATGTGATGTCCACACATTTGGACGCAAGGTCATAAGAGGTTAAGGAAAAGCTGAAAAACACTGCTATATTTAAAGTTTCCTAATGCAATTAAAGCTGCAATAATACATACTTTAATGCCCTCTTAATAGTTGCATTATATCTAGGTAAATGTCTTCTCTCTGACACCTTTTGCGCTCATGCAGCCCCGTATCATCACATCCTCGTCTTCGTGCTTCACTGTCAGGATCACATGTTCACTGTGGTCGTCCTGAGCAGGTTCACGCCAAACATGCTCAATCCCACAAACTCGAATTATAGTCCTACTATGGTTTTCTTTTTTTTTAATTTTGTTTTTAAGAAATTATGCAATTATTCAGACGTGATACAATTTTGGAATCATTTGAAATTTAAGTGAATATCACTCGCTTCTGTTGTATGAGTGCTGATAGAATTAATAGAATAATACACTGTTGTCCATCAAGAATCAGAATCCTTTTGTTGTCATTATGCACACGTCTCCATATGCACAATGGAATTTAACTCGGAAGTCTCGGCTTTCAGCGAAAGAAAAATGGCATATATAAACCTCTGACAACCAAACAGAAATACTCAAATACAAATTGGAATACAATGTTTTTGTTGTTGTTTTTTTTCATGAAACTACTAAAATACTAAATACTTGATAGATAAAGTGTATTATCTTCTCAAAACTTTATTGATATCACAATATACACACAATGCATATCACAGTTAAAATTAAGCCACAATTAACTTTTACAAACTGTTTATTCAGGCTTAAGCTAAATTGGGGGTAATGAACAACAGGATTAAGGGTTTTGTTTCAGTTTTTCTACCTTAGTCATATAACTGGAAACACATACCTGAGGGGATTTCATGCATTAGAATGTCCAATATTACTCCTTCAAATGTCACTAATATTGAGTCTGATCACCCCTGACACAGATCAATGCTTTAAAACATGGTGGCATTCTGTCCACCAGCTTGTTGATGGTGTCAGTGGGCAGGACGTCCCACTATTCAGTCAGAACTGGTTTCACCGTTGGGTAACTGGCACCTGGTCAGAAGTGATTACTGATGTGTGTATATAGAAATAAAAAGAGAAACGTGTCTGAGAAGGAAAATTATTCCAACTTTATGGACAGCAGTGTAATTTGAACTAAAAAAAACAAAACAGAAAAGAGAATAAAAGCATAAATGCAGCAGATTTCCAGCTCTAGCTGTGATTGAGAACATTTGCGTGCCGGCTACGTCGCTATTCTCAGCTGGGAAATGTGTGTATATGTATCACAGCTGGATGTGACTGGGATAGCAGAGGGTAATAAATCACAGAGAAAATTAGCCAGCAGTAGATGTACACTCATCCGTTCAATCTTACTGTCTCTTTGTGCATTATTTAGCCCCTCACCAAACACTGAAACATTGAACTTGCATACTAAAATACACCAGGGACCCGCGGGGATGCATTGGTGCACTCTGGGATGTTTGCAGGAAAGCAGAGTGGCGCGCGGACGGACACGTGCACGCTCACGGGCGCGCACGGATGGGGATGCGGGGCGAGCTGCGGGGATACCTACTGGTTTGTTTCTGGACACACACACACACACACACACACACACACACACGCGCTTCCTCCCCAGGGGTTTGGAAGCCCAACGTGAAGCAGACATATGGAGATTCTCCACATGATCCTCTTCCTAATCATGTGGAGCAGACGGAGACTGTAGCATCAGCAACAACCAGCAACCTGCTTTACATGATTTATTACACTGACACACATAGGATATCAAATGCTGTGTGTGTGTGTGTGTGTTAAATTTCCACTGTAAGTCCATGCATCTGGCATACTTCTGGGCAGCACAGTAAATTATAGAAGGATGACAGACTTTGTGTGCTCGCATGTCCACGGTTTGGTCTAGACGGGTCTGTTGTCTGGTGTTTTCCTAACTTTAACAAACAAACAGCTGCGTGGTTTCCCCCTAATCCAGGGATGTTTCTGCACAGAATGCATAGAAATGTGTTGTTCATTACTTGATTATGTACTGCTGTAAATAATTAGCCTTTTTGTTTTTGTGTGCAGCATAAAGGGACTACATCTGTAATTTAGTCATACAATTTTGTGTTGCATAATCAAAATCAGAATCAGCTTTAATGGCCGAGTATGTACACAACATACAAGGAATTTGGTTTCAGCTCTCGGTGTCGCCCCAGGAATGAGCAAGGAATAATAGAGGAATAATTAAAAATAAAGTAAAATAACTATAGAAAGAAGAAAAAAACCATACAGACAAAATAAAATAAATCAGAATAATAAATAAAATATGACAACAAATATATACAATAATTTACACATCTGAGCAGAAAAAATATATGTACAGAGATAATAAACAGACTAATGATAATAAACTGAATCTTGAATCATTGTCGGTAAAATTCCTGCATTGAAAATGTCACACAAGCAGAAGCAGCATCTGCAAAATGTGCTAAAAAGTATGAAAAATGAAAAAACAAAAGTCATCCAAGGTGGATTTTGATTTAACTATTTGATTTGTTGCTGGTAGTTTAATCTATAACAGTGTTCAATGTTTTTAATTTAAAATCTTAATCTGTGTCTGTCAGATAATACAGTGGAATTAAAAGTACAATAAATTATGAAACATAGTGAAGTAAATGTAAAAAGTAGCAAAAAATGTCCTTAATTCAGTACTTGAGTAGACGTACTTTATTATATTTTACCTCTGGGTATAGATCGCTGGTTAGGTTAAATGGGAACGGTCTCGTGTTTGTACATAATATAATTTAATTAAATGGCTTATTTTTGGCAAATTTGGCAACAAGACGTAGAGAAATGATCCTATTTTGCAGCAATATTGTGATTTTAAGCTTCCATTTTAACAGCACTTGATCAACTCAGTGACCATCAGAAACTTTAAAAAACCCTCAATTCTATGTTTGTACACTTTCTGTCTGTGATAAATGGAGTCATTTCAGGGAATATTTCACAGATAACATGCCGTCCTAACCCGCCGGTGAGGTTTGGCGTTCAGAGGGTTAACACTGGGGGGGAATTATTTTTATTCATTATTTATCTATTTATTTTATTTACCCGTCCATTTGTGCTGCGGCGTCTGTTTTCTTTGGTGCAAAAAACCTGCACAATAGTTTATTTCATAAGCCCCTCATTGAACAGAGCTGAACTGAAACGGGGACCGTACATGTGTGTGTGTGCTGCTAGTGTTGTATTTTTAACACAGGTATCCTTCAACATGACTAATTACATGAGGGTGACCTGCACATGGACACGCACACGTATGCACACACACCTCTCCTACCCCCCTCTCTCTCTCTCCCCCCCTTCGCCAGCCAGCTGCTCTGTTTTGTTAACATCGGCAGTTTTCGGTTCCTCACACACACACACACACACACACACACACACACACTCACACACCAGCCATATCTATTCATACAATCCATGGAGACATGCAATCCATGGAGACGATTCATGTAGCGAGAGAATAAACGAGTGCAGGAGCAGATAACGAATGAACCTGAGCCAGGGCTGGTGTGTTACTGTAATGAGGCCAGGGACGGCTTTGTGCTCACCTTGTACTTTTTACACCTCCTCCCCTCCCCTCTCCTTTTTCTACTCTTGTCACCTCCCCTCCCTTCCTTGTCCCCTCTCCTCCTCCTCTCCACACCTCTCCTCTCCCTCTTATCTCCTCTTTGGTTAAACTCTCCTTCCCTCTGCTGTCCTTGTGCTCTCTCATACCTTCTCCCGTGTTCTCCTGCCTCTCCTCCTCGTTTCCCTCTTCGCCTCCCCGTCGCCGTCCTCGCGTCCCTGCTAATCCCCTCTCCTCCTTTCCTAATGCTACTCCTCTCGCTTTCCCCTTATCGGCTCTTTAGCCGTCCTCCGCTTGCATCCAGCCGACTTCCTCCNCTGTTCACCTCCACTTCCTCCCAAACACTTCAGTGCAACATGAGGTCGTCTCACATCCTTGAATTGGAACAAAAAAAAAAAAAGCTGCTTAAAGCGATTCTGACAGAAATTACAACCTACGTTTTAAAAGAAAGGCTTGTTAACTTTGTTCACCTGTGTGTGGAAAACAACAACAGATCAACTTCAGAGTGGAGTGGAGAAAAGTTCAGACTGCATCATAAGTGTGTGTGTGTGTGTGTGTGTGTGTCTCAAGCCCCATTGCCCGTATGGGATGGTCGAGCCCCGTCTACCAAATCCAGTGTGTCAGCGAGCAAATTGGAAATGCCAATTTCACTTTACACCGCCCCGTATCTTATCTCTCCCTTACCCTCATCCCACCACTTAGCTCATGTGTAAATGAATAAGCTCCTCTCGCACACATCCCGCCGTTCGATTTCTGACTCCCTTCACCTCTCCGACCACCTCCTCTCCTCATCCTTCAGCTGCCCCGTCTTCTCTCCGTCCTCGTCTCCATTTCCTCCCCCCCCCATTGCCCGTTCAGCTGTAACCCATCTGTTATTTCTCTATGTGTATTTATGAAATATGTCTGTTTTGGCGGCTGTGGATTTATGCATGCGCGCGTTCCGGGGTCTGTCTGCGACGAACAAGTCGGGTTGAATCACTATGCAAATGAAACAATATCTCATACAATTCTCAATTTGCATTGAATCCATTATGAATCAACAATTTCTCTCACGCTCCTTGTCTCCCTGTTTTCTCTCTCTGTCGCAGTACGACTACGAGGGCGGCGACATCAGCGACCTGCCGGTTGACCTCTCGGTGGTGTGGAATGGAAACTTTGTCATCGACAACCCCTTCAACATTCAAGGTATAACGCCATCTTTTCCTCTTTTTTTTTTTTTTTTTTTTTGCAATCCCTCCTCCTCTGTTCTCATCCCGTCGCACAAAATATGAATCGGCCCTTCTTGTTTATTTGCCCGTAATGGCTTTCCGCGCAGCCACGGAAACCGTCGAGCAGCTTTTTCACCCCCTTCGTAAGAAATGTGTAATTTCATTTTTGACAGCCGTCAGGGAGAAAAGGTGAAAGTGTACCATCCGTTTGCAAAAACACCATTCTTGTCTCGGGGATAAAAAAAAAAAAAAAAGAGGAGCAGGGGGGAGTGATTGATGGATAGCGATGATAACAAACAAACATCCAACACAGAAATTAATAGGGATGGATGTTAGAGAGGAAGATAAACAAATTGAGAAAGCAATAGGCAGTGGAAGGGATGAAGAGCAAGAGCGATGGGTGGATGACAGGTTGATAAATGCACTGTGTAATGGCGGGGGGTAGATGTGAATAAAGGGACCGATAAAGAAAAACAGAAAGCGACACGGAGGGATGGCATTTATTATTTTTAATCGCTATTTGTGCATGAAGTGGAAAACAATTACCAATTCTAAATTCTTTATCAAGTGTAATATATTGGGTGGTGGAGGCTAATGATTTTAGACGTCCCATTACACAAGATAATATAAGTCTTTCTCTCCACTGTGTCATACAGTCCTTTTTGCTCCGGAGTCAGATGAACTAACTCCTTTCCTATATATTGTTTTTCTGTCCTAAAATTTTCATCTCACATCCGTTGTGTTGCATCCGACCTCGTTTTCAGTTCATTTTGCAGATTGCTGGGAAATTAGTTCCTCGCTGGTCATGACCTAATTCCTGTTGTTTTAGTTGAAAATGTGCTCTTTAAGGTTTTTTTTGCTGTGTTTAGCATGTGCAGAGAAGTATTGTAGCTGTCACAACACAACCAGTAATCCCACGTTTTTATGCAATCTAGTAGATGCATCCTGCGCTGTGAATTTGTGCTGTAGATTTGATGGATGTTTTCTAATCTGACAAGCGCTGAACTGAGCAACACGGTTAGCAAACGGTCTATTCTGTGTTGTGGTGTCAGCTTAACATTAATGTCTTCAGTGGAGCATTTATATTTACTACTTCCCTTATCGTACATTTGTCTTTAAAGATGTTGGGGAGACTTCAGTTCTGCCCACATGCAGCCAGCGTCCCTGCCTCGGTGCGTCAAAACACCTTCAAACTTCACGCTGCACTTCCTCGAGATCCTCTCACTTATTAGCGAGACAAAGATGAATTTATGCCTCCGCCAACGAGCGAGGCTCCGGTTTACGTCAGCGCCTGCATCTGTCAGACTTGACCTCTGACCTCGTGGGTATGAGACGTTATCACTTCATCATCTCATCCCCTTAGACGTCGGAGAGAAATTTCGTCATAATTAGCGTTTGAGTTGTGGCCAGAGGTCTTTTCGTTTGACCTTTGACCTTCGACCGCCCAAATCAGTTCGTCTTTGAGCTCAAATGAATGCTCGTTCCAGATTTAAACTGTTATTCCTTTCGGGCATTCAAGAGATTCCCCCGTCCTCCCTCCGCTGCTAACGTTTATATATTTCCTCATCAGTAAGAGCTGCCTCTGCTTCATAAGCAGCAGTAAGACCTGGAGATAAAAGTACTGACATCTAAATGCAAAAGAATTATTAAGAGAGAAAAGCATTAAAAGTTGGTCAAGTCCACATACAGCAGGAATTAGGAGAAACATCCACGGTCAGTGTGTACCCTCTGCAGCTGTATTTTGTTTGTTTGCTTTAAAAGCTCTCATGCATATATGATTCTCAAATGTTAATCTGACTATTATTAGTAATAATAAAACAAAACTGTCAGTTGGAATGACTTCTTGAGATTGAAGTGCTAAGAGTGCTTCGATATCTGTTTTGTTTGGTGCTTCGTCACAAAAATGACATTCCCATACAGCTAAACTGCATTCTCAATTGTGCTATGAGGGAAACCAATTTTCTTATGGAATCTGTGTTAGAAGATGAAGGCATAAGCTTAGCCACCTGACGTCCACCCAGCAGGCTGGAGTTCCCATGTGGGACCCTTATTTTTAGACTTTTTGTCATTAATTTTCAGTTTTTGCTCATTTTGTGGCTCGATTTAAATGACGTGGTTATGTGTGGAAAAGTGTCCCACATTGGCTTTCACAGTGATAACGACATGCTAAAAGCTCGTTTAAGTTTTGGCACCAAAGTTGCTTGGCTACGTTTAGGAAAATATGTTTTGAGTTCCAATACGACCCTTTACATGTTGCATATCGTTTATATGCTGATGATACCCGGCTCTACTTTTCGTTCAAACCTGCAGACTCCTTGACTGCCGTAATGCTATCGGGTTCAGGACGGCAGAAAACTGTCTGCAGCGGTAGAACCAGGCGGAGGTTCTGGCTTTTGCTCCACAAAAGGTTGTCGCTGTGATTATGCTAAATATTTGGCATCTTTCCACTGCTGCTCACTCAAACCTACGTAATTTAATATTTGATAAATCCTTGTCATTTGACACCACTGTGAGCAACCTGACCTGCAAGACTACTGATCAGATCCAATAGACGCTCCCATATGAACCCAAAACTAGAATCCCTCCACTGGCTCCATGTCACATATAGGATCCAGTTCAAATTCTAGTTGTTCCTTACAGAGTGTTATACAGTCTGGCTCCTGCTTATGTTGCTGAGCTACTTCGTCCAAATGTGCTAAATTTGTTGCCTGTCCCTGCACCCCTTACGGTCTGCTGAGTCTCAGGTGTCCTCTAAAAGCCAGCTGAAGACTCACCTGTTTAATCAGGCATTTGAATAATTTGTATGCACTCGCCCTGTATTTGTGTTTTTTTTTAAAAATGTTTTTTAAGTATTGTGCAGTTTTCTTGCACTTTTAACTCCATGACACATGTAGTCACTCTATTTATTTCATGTTCTCCTGTAGCTTTTGTGAAGCACTTTGTGACCCTTGTTGGTGAAAAGCGCTTTATAAATACATTTTACTTACTTATTTACTTTAAGTACATGTAAGCAGGTGTAAAATTTATTATGCAAATTCAAACTTTCAACCAATCAGACGGACTTTTCTTTCGCTAAAACATTCACAACTGATAATCCAGGACAGTCCACCGGGAAGTGTCCCTGGATACTGGAAGTTTGCAGAATGACTCACTTCTAGTTGGTTAATTTTGTGTTTTCTTTCAGTTAGACTCCAAACTGAACTTCTACAATTAATGGAAAGATAAACAGTTTTTGGTTTTCACGTTGTTTTGCCCGAATATACATTTAACAATGACGATAGAGAGTGAAAAAAAACCCACAGGACGACAAAAACTACATAAATGGGAAACATGTGGCGTTAAAATAAACCAGAATTATCCTTTAAAGTTAACGTAGAAAGGCTGGAAATGGGACTGAGATGCAGCTCCTACTGTTTGGGGTTCCTCCTTATGTTCTACCACCCAACAGCACCTCCAAATCCCCAGATTTCCTCCAGCTCACTGTTTGGGTTTTGAAAATAAACACGGTTCAGTCGTGAGCTGTGAGGAATTTAGTGGGATTTTTTATTGTTTTTTGGTAAATGATGGAAAGACTGTATATAACAGGTTGTTTGGGCAACTTTGAATAAAAGTTAGAACAGGGTTTGTGACACCTCTTATTCCAGATGTGAGGTTTTTATGCAGCAAAGTCGTCCAGATAACTCTGGAAACAGGCCCCGGGGACGTCTGCCACAGCGAGCGCCTCGCATGTGACAGCGTGGTGTTGAGCTCTGAGAGTGTGAAATCCACTGATCTAAGGCGCAGTGTGTGTGTGTGTGTGTGTGTGTGTGTGTGTTGTTATGACTATGAGCAGGTCGTACTTGCCACTTGACTTTCTACGTGCCACAGAATTTACAGCACTGATGGTATGCTCCTGAAAACAAGTCAAAGGCGGACTTTCTGGGGCAGCTGACGGGGTTGTGGACGAGCAATTAGTGTGAATGAAGAACCCCGTCAGTGATGATTCTGTGCTGAAGCCACACAGAACACCCATTCTGATTAAACAAGTTCAACGCGACGCTCAGTGTTAAAGGTCTAATGCGCTTTAAAAACACGTATTATGAAAGTGTCCTCAGTCATACAAATCTCATAAAGGCCCTCTCCTCCTTTTCTCCTCCTTTCTTCCCTCCATCCTCTCATTAATCCGTCCCCGTCTTTTTGCTTTCTGCATTATCCGTCTGAGGCGGCGCCGCTCCGCGCTGGCCCGGCTTTGCCCTGGTGTAAAGTGGAGATGTTAATGTTAATTAAATCATTCATTTGGTTCAGATTAATTAGCGTCGCGCTACTTTTAAGCCGAGCCGTGGCTAATCAGATTAGGCCCGAGCCGAGGGCCGAGGCGGGCAGATGGATACGAGAAAAGAAGCTCGCTTTGAAGTCCGGCAGCCGCCGTCTGTCTGCCGGAGAGTGGGAGGAAGGAGGAGATCCTTCCGCGCTCTGATGCTCTGTTTTTCACTTGTTTTCCACTTCACCTCCTTTCAAATCTGTTTAACTGGTGTGACGGCAAACAAACCTGCCTGCAGGTTGTGGCAACGGAGCGTCGGCTGAGATAATTATGACGGCGATTAGCAGATGACAAAGCAAGAATCAAAAAAAAAAAAAGAAGAGAAGAAGAAGGAAGCACTTGCCGCTACTTCCTGCTCTCCTGTTTGCACGTGGCTCCGTCTTCTGTTTGCTTTCTGCTGGTTCTTCCACCACTCTCAGTTGTTTGACGTCTCTTCCCTTTCATATCTCTCGCTCGCTTTTTTCCTGCCTCCGTCTTGTTTTCCGTGATTCTCGGGGCCTCGCGGGGCCACGCCATCTTTAAATTCATAACAATCCTTGTTGCTGTTTTGTTAACAAGCGTAGCTAAAATTTTATCCTCCCCGCTTCCTTTCATCTCCCTCTCCTCCAACTTCTCAGGTGTTTGAGGTTTCATTTATTTATTTATCTATTTATTTATTCTTTTTTTTTTTTTTTTTTTAACTTTTAATGACTTTTTCCACTCTGCAGAGTTGAGGGAATGGTTTCTTACACAACAAATTATCAATTCCCTATTGGCGTTAGAAGACATTACCTGTTGAATTAATTTCTGTGATATCCCTCTAGGTGGCTTGTTCATTTTTTATTTTTTTTATTTCCTCCCCCCTCTATTTATCTGTGGAAACAGTTATTTTCTCATCGTCACAGCCTCGGAGTGGTAATAATCACCTACTGAAGGTTTGAGGTGTTACGTGGGTGATTAACATTCATTTATGCTGCTCCTCTGCTCTCTCTCAGGCTCACAGACACATAAACTCTTGATTACTTTTTTTTCGTACCACCGTTGCCTTATTTCAAATTAACAAGTTACGAAACTTTGTGTTTCACCCAAAACATTCTTACAAGCAGGATGAATGTAAAGTTTTCTCAATGCAGAAGCCTCGTCAGAGGCCGACATCGTCACATAGATTTGATTTTAATGACACAGAAAGCTTGACGGCCCACTGAGGACAACTAGAAGACTCCATAGTTGGCTACGTTCATCTAATCTGCTTTAAATTTGGTATTTTTGCCGTGAGACATTCATTTTCAGGTTCTGTCTCTTGTTTTCTGCCACCAACGAGAGGAAGCCTGAAAGCCATTTCTATATGAGAAAACGTGTTTTCTTCACACAGAGCAAAGTGTGAACATGTGGCGTTTCCTATAATAGCATGACAGAGTGCAACAAACACTGTGCCTTCATCAGCTAAAGGTACATAAACAAACACACCGACCTCACAGATCTGATAAACTGCAGTTTTCATAGAAACACAACTTAACTGCAGTAAAGACAAAGTCTGTACCAGAGGGCTGTACGACCAAGTGAGATCAGTGGGTTATGGAGGTATGTTGAGTTTAAAGTCAGAGTTTTCAGTGTCATGAAGGTGGCTCTCTTTCATCTTGCTAGATCTCCATGGTAACTGATGCTGTGGAGCTAACCTGGTCCGTTAGAGTTTAGGATTTAAATCGGCTGGAAAGAGCATCTCCCTTTAACCAGATCATTTACTATTATTTATGAGCGATACAGAGTCTCAGCTGAAGGAATGTGTTTTATCTGCTAACATGTTAACTTGTGTGCTATTAATATCACTGAATGAAGCCGTGTAGTTACAGCATCACACACTGTATACGTTGCCATGGGAACCAGACATGTATTTACTCGGTGATGCAGAAATCACATAAATATGTTTTTATGTTTTGCTCTAATTTGCTGTCAAGTCCGTTTACTCTGCTGGTACTGCAGCTGATTAGAGAACTGATTCTTCTACTGGTAGTTATTACTGAGAATATTCAATAATTAATTTTGCTTTTATTGGGCCAGAAATTAAACTGATATCCTGCATTATGGGACAGTGTCGGACCTGAATGCACGTCTACATAATATCAGGTTTAAATATATGAAGTTTAACTTTAATATGCAGCTGTCAGTTGGGAATAATCAGCTGCATCAGTAAAATATTATATATTAACATGTTTAACAGTTTTCTACAAGCATTCCTGTCGCTTTTTATCGTGATAATTTTTTTATATTCCACATTGATCTCTATTAAATCAACGTGTTGACTGAAGCAGCTGCACACGATCAGTTCATTTAGTGCAGAAGAAGTCACGTGACGCGTTGAACGCCTCCTTTTATGCGAACAGAGTCTGAAGCAGGAAGTCTGAGTTGACAGAGGAAGTTGAAAAAACCACCTTCCTGAAGCTCATCATCCCTGATTGCAGCTTTTCGTCGAGCCGGCTCACACAAAGAAAGCTCGGCTTTGTCAAACTTGCTTCGTAGTTCAGCCCTCAGGCCAGATGAAGGAGACTCACCAATTATAAATGTTTAGACGAAACAATAACACGAGCTGAAGTTTGTCGCTTCCAGCTGTTTTTAGGCATCTTTCCTCAGAGTTTATTAAATTCCTGAAGCGTCAGACACCAGCAGGATCCATATGAGAACCTCCAAAGAGAGCGAGTTGCAGCTCAGGGCACATTACTCGTTACATGCTGGCTATCGTCAGGCTGTATGTTTGGAAAGGTCTGACCTCATTACTAAAATCTATTAAAGTAGATGCATCCTCATAACAACGCATAGGACGTGGCAACAAGCGAGTGTAGTTAGATAAGTTATCATTATAATCGGACAGAATGTTTTCGTGTATTTTCCAGCAGCCCAGACAGCAGGTTGGGTCTGAGCATCATTAGTTATTTATGGTGGCTATTGTGTCATGAGACTTTACGGGTTAACTGTCTCTCCTCACCAGCACCAGCCTCTCTTCTTTTTGGCTATTTAAAAAGTCGCTCAGCCACTTCTCCAACATCACAGATGCTCCGGCCGTACATAAATGAATCCCACTCACATTTAAGTTCGCAAGTAATGTGCGCTTTGGAGAAAAAAAAACACTGCTGTTCACCCCCTCAAGCGCTGATATAATTTCATCCTCTAGAGCGGCTCGTTGACGGGAATTGTTTGCACGAGCACAGTCGCTCTCTCACACCCTCTCTCCTGCTCTCTCCACCAGCTCACCTGTACAAGTGCAGGGCGCTGAGGGACAGCTGCGGCATGTGCCTGAAGGCCGACCCCAGGTTCGAATGTGGCTGGTGCGTCCAGGACAGGAAGTGCTCCCTGAGGCAGGAGTGCACCGGAGGAGGGAACTCCCACCTCCCCCTGCAGCTGGCTGAAGGCGGAGGGTGGATGCACGCCACGTCTGGAAACAGCCGCTGCACCCACCCCAAGATCACCAAGGTAAGGGGTGTCTGCTGCGTACGTGGGCGACGAGGCCACCCGACATACATAGTCTCAATCGAGAGACAAATAGAAGCGACTATAAATACCTATTATTATTATTATTAGCCTATATTGGTAAATGGTCTGGACTTATGTAGCGCTTTTTTCAACCTTAGTGGTACTCAAAGCGCTTTACAATGTGTTTATCATTCACCCATTCACACAAACATTCATACACCAATGGCGACAGAACTGCCATGCAAGGTGCTGTCTGCCATTGGGAGCAGCTTTGGGTTCAGTGTCTTGCCCAAGGACACTTCAACTGTGGAGGGCTGGGGGATCAAACCAGCAACCTTGCAATTAGAGGGCAACCGCTCTATCATCTGAGCTGCAGCAGCCCAGATTATTTATTGTTGCGTTCTATCGCTTCCTCTCCATCTGTTATCCTTCTATCCCCACCTCCCCATCCCCACTCTTAACCCAACCAGTCGAGGCAGATCGCCGCATTTCCTGACCCTGGTTCTGTCTGAGGTTTTTTCCCCCCTCCCATTGAGGTTTTAAGTTAATTCCGCCGTTACCGACCTCTTGCTCAGAGAGAGTCCAAAGGCAACTTTGGATTGTTGGCTTCTCTGTTTAAAATTCATAAAGTCTTCACCTGACTATGTGAAGTGCTGTGAGATGATGTGTTGTGAGCTGTGCTATGTAAGTAAAATTTAATTGAACTGAATTGACCAATAAATTCATACTTTTAAATAACAAACAGAACTGAAATCAAAAGTTCCTCCGAGAATTCAAATTCATGGACATCTTATATCATTGGGTTCAATTTGACTCCACCTCCAGAAAAACATCATAGTTAAAATTGTTACGCAAGTTTATGTGTAAATAGCCCTTTAAATAAAACTTATTTAGAGACGTTAACCACTGAATGGGGTTAAATTGACCACGAAGATAATAAGAGGCTTAAGGCCCCCATGTGGGATATGATGGACGGAGATCTAATATTAAAAACAAACCTGCAGACTGCAAAAGAAGCTTGGCTGTAAAAATAGTTTTTTTCAAAATTCTGGTCTTACAATAGGTGGAAACCATTAACTGTTCTGCTTTACTGCTTCAGTTATTCACGTTGACTTGTTACATGTAATTTTAAATCAAAATGCAAACACCTTATGACAGTGATTTTGCATTAGATTGATGCTAACGTCTGTGTTTCTGAGGCTGCATAAATCAACACAGAGATGCATCACACCGCTGCTTAGAGAGGAAGTAAAAAAAGAAAACATCCGCAGTCGACAACAACCGAAAGAAACTCTTTTGATCAAAACTGTCTCCGATGATACAGTTCTAAAATCACCTGCAAAGACGAGCAGCGCGGCGTCTTTGAGCGCCGCATCATAATCTCATCAACTCGTGAAGACTGTAATGTCACCTGTGGAGATCCAAGGCTGGTAAACCTTGATACGCCGTTGCGTCAGCTCTCTTTGTTGAAGCCCCCGTGGTCACGAAAGCCCTACGTGTCCTGAACCTAGAATGAAAGCTGCTCTATTTTAATGTGTTGCTATTAAAACACACACACACACATGTTGAGACCTTGTGCCTGCCCTTGGCACAGAAATGGTATTATTACTCACTGTTACATCAAACTGCTACTCCAGAGACAAAGACGCGTTGAAGTTTGTTTGGCTTTGATTCTTTTTTTAAACCGTCTTATAGGTATGTTCGGGGTTTTTTTCTTTCTTTCTTTTGTGTGTGTGTCACTGTCTGCCTCTGTAGTGATGTGGGAGGATGTGAGGGGCCAAAATCCATCACTGGTCCGTTACTGATCTCACATTCATTCAAGTCCTTTTAATTAATTTTTTATCTGTGGATCATTTTCCTGTTCCCTTTTTTACCTGAACTCTCAGTTGGTATCTAAGTTAAGAGAAACGGTCCTCGGCTGTTACGTAATCAGAAAAACTTTGCTGCCCATCAGAAGGCGAATGATCGTCTACAAACAGGAGGAGATGCTAATTCCTGATGCGTTTGAACTATTAATATCTGGTGATATTGATCAGACAATCTGCCACCTCGCAGTACTCCCATTTGTTTTAAGAGAAATAAATATTAAAGCCGTTGTTGTGAACACAGACAAGACTATTTCTTGCAGTTCTTCTAGTTCCTGCACAACTTGTCCCGTCCTTAAGAATCTCTGAGTGTTTTGCTGAAATATGCATCTGCTTCTTAATGCTGTGTGTGTGTGTGATGTAAAGCTGACCAATCCGTGTGCATATGCTCATGCTCCACGCGTATGCAGACGCCGACAGCGTGTTCGTTACGCGTCCTCGTAAATGCATGCAGTTTTATGAAGACGAGAGTGCATATCTTTGTTTCTGCATTCGCGTGAGTGTGTACGTACGCAAGGGCGCGACAAGGGGAAACGAGAGTAAGAGTGATGCGCTTCTATATTATGATAAAACTTTGAGTGACTGGGTGTAATAAATGTCTAACAAGATACGAAAGTAGAAAGTAAAAGACACCTTGATATGGGGACAATAGCAGACGTCTCCGTTCTTTTGATTCATGGATTCGTTTCCCTCAGTTTAGTTTATATAACCTTCCGGGCCGAGGTAATAACTTTTAGAACTTTATTTATTGTGCCGGTACGCGTGTCAGCCCCTGGACTTTTCACTTAAAGGTCGTTTTGTTGACTTCGGCTGGGTAATTAAAACAGACGCAGGAAGTAGTAAACCAGGTGTTTTAACGAGGTAATCACATAATACGTGACGGTTAGATTTCCTTGAATCTGCCCACATGAGCAATCATGGTATCATGTCATTTACGGAAATGTGTAAAGGTCTCCAAGCATGTCTCCTATCCAAATAATAATAATAATAATAATAATAATAATAATAATAATACATCCAAGCTGCTGCTGAGCTTTTTGAGGCCGAAAATGCAAAAAAAATTGCCTTGAATTGTAAAAGCTTCAGCTGGTCTCACAGCACCAGCTCCATGTAAACCTTCAAAAGTCCAGTTGCTTCATTAAGAGAAGGATTAAGGCTCAGTTTAGGTCAAAGATCTCCAACTCTGGTCCTCATGAGCTACTGTCCTGCAGGTTTTAGATGTTTCCATACTGCAGCGCCCTGACTCTAATGAATGGATCATTAACAGACTTGTGTAGAACTTGACAACAAGCTGTTGGAGATCCATTCATGTGAGTCAGGTGTGTTGCAGTACGGAAACGCCTAAAACCTGCAGGACAGTAGCTCACAAGGACCGGAGCTGGAGATCCCTGGTTTAGGTCATAGTTAATGTGTGTTGTGTTGTTTCCATAATGGTGCAGGACTTTATATTTGCAGAACAAAACAAACCCATAGTAAGTAAAAATGTGATGGTATCAAGACTCTGACCCCCTTGTGTTCCCCCTTCAAGTATTTGAACATAATTAAGCTTCTACAACATTTATTTGATTCCTGCATTCCTTAGCAGAACCCTCAAACTTTTTTCTGATTACATAAAAAGAACTTTATTCTGGTTTTTAGCAGCTGCTGGCCTCATTTCCTTTATTGGTTACCACTCAGACCACAGCCAGATTTCCATGTTCCTGAGCACTCACACCCATAGTTGTGCAGAAGCCAGATTACCGATCAGTCGGAAACCGCTGCTCTAATACTTGTGATTTGACATGGCTGCTATGTGGTTGGGACGACTATATAAAGGCCACAGAGTGGCGCCCCGCTACTTTACCTGCAGTGGATTAGTGGTCAGTGGTATTCAAAGAACTGGCCAAACAAAGGAAGAAAGACGTAATAAGATTAAGTGAATTTATGTTTCAGTCATGCTATATGGCACACTGACATAAAGCAACACTGCAAATATAATGGAGACGTTGTTTTCCAGCTGTGATTGCAAAATAATGGACACAGCGGAGGCGAATTCCTGCTTTTCTCTGCAGAGCCGCCTCGCCTGTGCAGCCTCAGTGTGGCTGAAAGTGATGTCACAGCAGCTGGATACGTACAGTAAGTCATTAGTGGTCGGTTAGAGCAAAAATTCAAACCTTCCTACCGCACAAAACGGCTAACAAGGACTGCAGACTGAATAATGGAGCAGTCGCACAATTGCCATTCAGGCCGAATATCAGGCTATTAGCTAATCATCTCCGGGATTCAGTGATTAGTGGTTAGTCGCTGGAGGAGACCGTGTTATACTAGAACACATCCTCAAGCGTTTGCGGTCCTCGTGTCGGTCGAGCCCGTGATCAGTTTGGTGGCTCGTGTCGAACAATTATACCCGCTGTTCGTTTGCGCTTATGTCTTAAGGCTTGCTATTTTGCGCTTAAACGTGGTTCTCTCGTATCAGATTACGATCTTAAACCGCCGGAATCACTCGAGGTCCGTTCGGAGCTTTAGGGCATGTGTACTTTGCATAACCCAGGAAGCGGCGGTTGAATGTAGTGGTGTTGTGTCAAATCACTGCAACATGAGTCCAAAGCTGCTTGAGGTCCCATTTCCACACTGTGGCGTCTCTGCATGCCCACAGGCTCAGCGAGCACTGGTTATCGTGTTATGTGGTGCCATACTTTTTATACTTCCAAGATTTTTCTGAGGTTCCGATGGAAATTCACTCTCCTAAGTCAGAGGAATATTATAATGGTACACGACCATTACATTCATTCATTCCAAGCTGCTAATGGGTATAATGGTCTGGATCCGTCTCCTGTGCCACAATGGTCATATTTCAAATTCATAACTTAGCATCCGAACACAGTTCATCCGAGGCAGTGTTGCTTATTTAAAGTCTCCTTCCTTCGTGACGTCTATACTTCCTGGAACAATGAGGCACCGGTCCACATTCCTGCTTTACATATGGAGTTATTTTCCCATCTTTAATCCAGAGGACGGTCTTTCAATTTTATTTTTGCATTCAGACTTTGTAATGCGTTCCCTCGAAATCCTGCCAGTCTCTCAGATAGCGCTTCTGCTGGTGCAAATCTGCACTCAGCATGGTTTTAAGGTATTTTGAGATTGCCTGTTCTCTGG